CCCAAAAGCCAGGGTCTTTTTGCAACCCAGCTGCCTTTCCTGGTTTATCCCACCCACGTCCTGGCCTCTCCCTTCCTGAACCAACACCACGTCGACTGCCACAAGCCGAGCCCATTGGTCTGGGCAAGCTCCCCCGTGCCCACACTCATTGCCTGTGGTCCTGGGCAGATTGCTGGACAAGCTGAGCTGTTAGCTTCCCTGAGGCACAGCCCAGGCCTATCTGCTCGCCGAACGCCAACTACTTATTGGCTATTTCTTCTTCCGCTCTTGAATGTCAGTGAGTACTGGCTCTGGACTCAGACCTCAATTCAAATCCTGCAAAATCTATGTGAAACCCCAGCCCCTCTCTAGGCCTCATTTCCTTCTCTGGACAACAGAGAGAATGTCCGGGGGATCCTGACTTACTTGGTTCCTTACTGTGACTCATGATGGCCGCTGCTGGACACTGTGTGCAGCCCCATGGCATGTCCTCAGTACGCTGGACGGAGGCACTTACCTGACTTGCGCGGGGCAGTGGGGCCAGAGGGGGCACCTTCAGTTCTTTCCAGGTAGAGAAGGGGCAGTGGGCAGCACAAGGAGGCAAGGTTGCCTTGAGGACTTGGATAAACGGCTTCCTGATCTTCACCAGCTGCTGGGGCCCAGCCAGAGAAACTTCACATCCTACTTCCCCACCAACAGAAGCAACCGGAGGGGAAGAGTGGTCCATTTGTCCCTAACCAACCCAGGACTGTGGTATTAGGTGGGGGTTGAGGAACATTGCAGGAGGGGTGTTTGTAGGGATGTTTGTAGGGATGACCCAGCCTCCCACCCATCCATCCCATCCCCCCTCTCTTCCATGCTGGCCTCAACACTGAGCTAGGACATTCCATACATTAGAACCTCTTCATACAGTAAATACTGAATGGGTCCCATGCTGGGTCTTCCAGGGCCCGTGGGAGGCCTAGAGACAAATGAGGCGTGGTCTGACCCTTGAGGGGCTCATGTTTGAGTGGGGAAGCAGACAAGGGGGCAAACATTAGCCAGCACAGAGGAAAGGAAGGCCCCACAGTGTCAGGGCAGTCTTCTGGATGCTGGAGACAAGTTAGCCAGATGAATGGAAGATGGACACAGACGATAGCAACAAAAAGTCTAAAACTGGATGGTTAAAAAAAAAAAAAAAAGGCAGTGGGACAGAAAGGAGAGTCCAGCAGGAGCAGAGAAAACAAAGGGCAGAAGGAGAGGAATACGGTCCCTTCCCTGAGGTGGGCACAGGATGTCCCGGGAGGCAGGAAGTCTAGTCCTGCCCTGCTTGCCACTGTTCTTACCATTCCAGGGATGTGTGGCCCTGGGAAGACTCCCTTCCTCTTTGGGCCTCAGTCTTCCCACCTGGAGTTGGAGACATTAGCCCAAATGATCCCCAAGGGCCTGGCCCACCTGGGCAGTCAAGAGCCTCACAGCCTCTGCCTGGTGGTCACAGAGTCAGCTCCTCCTGACCTCTCTGGAGGTGGACTGCCTTGCCTTCTCCTGGGAAAGGTCCTTCCGGAAGTGGGTGCTCCTCCCTTCTCATTTTCCTCCCCTGATGCTCTTCTGGCCAGAGCATCAGTGACCGCTGTGTTGGGCTTGGCTAACCACTTCCTCAACTCCAAACCCCCTTTTATCATAGCCTCTGAAATTACTGTCCTGTGCACACACTCTCTCTCTTCCTGCCACCCTGCCCTCCCCGCCAGGACTGTCTCATCATCCTGTCCCCCCAAGGGCCTCTTTTCCCCGGGCCAGGGAGAAGCACACTTGGGAGTCTTCCAAAAGCCCAGAAGCTTCTCTCTGGGCCAGGGCATGATCCCAAGTTCTGCCAAGCCCTGGCCCTCCTAGCTACAGGTGGAAGCTTCCTAGGACAGGGGCCACCAAGATCCAAGCCTGGTGAAATGAGCAAGGCTGACCCCAAAGGAGCCAGGGTTATCCATGGGCCCCTTGAGTTCCCTTCTGAGCTCATCTTTTTTCCCTAATACTAATCCGCTTCTAATGTGCTGTATCTTTACTATGTCAATCCCATAATCAATGTATTTCATATGTTCACATGTATCTGATCTGTGCATTTACCATCTCCCTGCTAGAATTCAAGCAACACAAGAACAGGGATGTTGGTTTTCTTCACTGCTGGATCTCCAGTACCTAGAATAACACCTGGCCCATTGGAGGGGTTAAAAAAATATTGTTAAATGAAAGGATTGGCTCTCCATTGGAAATTCTGACCTACTGAGCTCCCTGAAGTTCCAACGGTCCATTTGCGGAACCCCACCCGCCCCTTCCACCCTACCCCTGACCTCCCCTCCCTGCCCAGAATCCGGAGTCCCTGCCTGTATGGGCCTTCACATTCCTGAGCCTCCATTCACTGATCACTAACCCCAAAGCCTCAGCCTGTCCCCGAGCCCCACGTGAGTCCTGCACCCCCAGACCCTAAAGAGCCAGGCATAAGAGAGGCAGCCTCCCTTTGAGTCATCAGGGCCCCTGGGATCCTGCTCTGCCGAGAACTTAGTCTGTCCTGAACCAATGATAAAAGCAACCGGCTCAGCCATGGCGGCTGAACCCAAAGCATACAGGGGACCATCTGTGGGGTGGCCCCGAGCCAAAAGTGTGGGTGCACGATGCTAAGAAGAGTCCCCCGCTCTGAAGTCTGGCAGAGCGAAAAGAATGGAAACTTCATGGGGGGAGCCTCCGAGTGGTGGGTGGTGGGTAGGATCCCACCCTGAGAAGACAGCTGAGCTCTGGAGTTCCCTCCATTACGGGAGAGACAGGCTCTTACCAGGCCCCTTCCTTGTAATGTCCCAACTCCCAGGCGTGGGGTGTATAAGCTACAAGGACAGAGTCCAAGCCCGTCTGTAAAACTTTTATTTAGAAATCTTCCCAATATATCCTCATATATATATACACACATCATCACCACAAGGGTTGTGTCGCTAAAGAGTCACGCCCACAGTATTGGCCTCCGGGCTGTACAAAGGTCAAGGTACCTGGAGCGGTTACTCCTCTTCTGCAGAAAAATGCAGAGACCAATACAACCCATCACGTACAGTACAACATAGACGGAAAGTGCTGGGCCCGCCCACAGGAACAACGCTCTATGTACAGGGGCAGGGGCGAGCCTTCGGCGGGGGGTCACGTACCATTGGAATCACAAGTACGACCAGACCATCCCCAAAGGCCGAGATAGTTGTCGGCTGACTACAGATGCTGGGCCCTTTGCTCTGTTTTTGGAAAAGAAGAAAGGTTGTACCATCTTGTCGTTTGTCACCGCCAATAAAAGCATAAGAATTTTCCTGAAAAGATGCGAATCCCTCCAGTTTTTACAATCATCTCTGTTCTCGATTTTTTCCCCCTTTACATCTTTTCCCTTGGCACAGGTATTATTCTTGGAAGGTTGCCATTTCTTCATAGGTGACGAGGCAGAGGAAGGAGGAGGGTGTGGTGGGTGGGGCGAGTTGGGGTGCAGATGAACATTAAAATTTTGGATCTTCAGTCAGTCTTACAAAAACATGAGGCTTTGCCCATCCCTACCCAGGCCCGTTGCGGGAAGCTGTGTTATGTCTTACATGTTCTCTGCCCATATCTTTTTCCATTCTCACTCCTCTACCTCTCCTTGGAAGGAGACACAAATGAGGTCAACCTGGAGAAATGAGGACAATCAGGATAACTCAGGCAAAAGTGGTTTGGAACCTAAATTACCCAGATCCTGCGCAGTCAGGCAGACTGGCCCACTGCCCAGGCCCTGGACTCAGGATGGGAAACCCCATTGCAGGAATGATGCTGAGGTCGAAAGAGTTCTTTCTGGTCTCAAAATGCTTCTACTTTCATGATTTCACTTGGAATGGAATCCACAGCCCTAGTAGACAGGCCAAGCCAGGGTATTTTATGAGAAATGGACACTGAGAGAGGGGTAACTTATCCATGTCATTCTGCAAGTCTGAGAGAAGAGGAAGCCAGAAGCCTGAGTTCCTGATAGAATGAGCGATCCGTCTCCTAAAACCTCTCCATCCATCCATACTGTGGCCACTGTTCACTCCGAGTCAAATTAATCCACCGGGAAACAAACGCAGCTTTAGGACTGAGGATAGGAGCTCCCTCTTTACACAGATGGGATTCCTCACAGGAGCTTCCAAGCATTGGAAAGAAAACAAGCCTAATGTTCAGCAAAATAGGATGCTGGGGGTCTGAAATGGACAGAGTCTGAGTGCTAAAGGATTACCACGTTGCTCCCCTACTCACAAACTGGACCTCACAACTTAAGAGGGAAGGGACGGAGCCAGGTTTGTGCCCTGTGAGCACAGGGTTCTGCTCAAAGCCCTTCACTGGGTGGGACTGTCTTCCCTTTAACCTCAAAGACAGAATCTGGTGGGAGGTGGCTGCGGTGACTTGAGGGTACAATGACACGTGTATAGGGCTTGTGCGGGGTTTGTTCCATGGGTGTGGAACGCATGTCACAGGCAGGCCTGGCCTTAAGAAAACCATGTCCCACCACCTGGATTGACACAAGAGATCAACAAGGGGCAGTGGTCCACTCTACAAAAAAATTCTTCACTTTACAAAAGGACTTGCGGTAGTATTTCTTTAAAAGATGAAGGATAAGGGTTCGATTTACAAAAATTTCATGTACAGCTCTCAGAGGGGGTTGCTCCTGTGGTGGTAAGCCAATCTTCCATACACACCCTAGATGACTGAGAGTTGTAGAATCCAGGGGTGCTGGAGATTCTGCTGCGTGAATGTGCAGTTGTCTGGATCTCAGCCAGGGCCTGGTCTCTGATTGGTTTTCCCCCTGCCCTCCAAGTGGGGCTACAGCCTGGGTCTTATCAAGACCTAAAGATCCCACCAATAACTAAAGTCAAGCAAAAATCCCAAATGCCAGGAATTCGCAGGACAGGGTTTGTGCTGAGCTGGGTTCAGACCAGACCGTCAGCAGACACACACCCTGGAGAAGAACATCGGGGGACCCACAGACGGGGCTGCACATCCACTCTAAGCAGCGGCGCAGGGCCATCGGCACACAGCCATTGGCTCGCCACCAGAACAGCGGCGGGGAGTGGAGAGTACAGGCAGGCTGCTCTGAGACACCGCCAGGATTCGAACCCAAAGCCCCAAAGAGCTCTGGTTCAATGTCACACTCACCATTCTCCCTCTCTCTGCCTTCATGAGGCCTGCCAAGGCATGCTCTCAGCTACAGACTCAGTCCCCGCAAGGATTAGGAAGGCAAGTCTCAGTGGGGAGAAAGCAGAGCTTTGATCCCCGGGGCAAGCAGTAAGGGCTACTGGGTTTTCTGACCCTCTGGCCCAGCTAGTTGAGAGCAGGCTGTCCACTGGCCATCTTCTTCAACCAGACCCTGTAGAAGGCACCTCGAGGCTTGTGACTGTCTACAGCAGCTGGCAAGCTGGGTGAACCGACATGGGCCTGGGTGAAGATGGGGCTCACCCAGAAATGGGCGGCGACTGGGTACCTACATATTTGGACAGAGTGGCCACACAAGCCACACCAGCCAGCTTGGGAGGGGCTAAAGGCAAGGCAGAGGCTGCTGGATGCTGCTGGGGAGAGCTGATAACCCCAGGTCTTGGCAAAGACAAGGCCCCTAAGCTCCAGGCCAAAAGCAGTGTCAGTCCAGCTTCTTACTGGAGAAGTCTTAGGGATTGGGGGAAGGGGGAAGACCGTGCCGTCTTCATAAAAAGTACCTACCACTTTGCTCCATTTTTCTGTTCTCCCACTGAGGCAGGAGTCAGGGAAGCTGCCCCGGGGACAGTTAGAGCTCCGCCAAGTTCAGACACCAAGGAAAGCTCATCGAGTCCGTTGCCCTGCTTCAGAGCTGCCCGATCCTCACCCCACCTGCCCTGAAGCCCATGGGCCCGGCGGCCTGAGGATGCCCTCCCGGCTGGTCCTGAACAGCCCCGGCCCCATCACCGAGGACCTGCTCCATCAGCGGCTGGCAGCATGGCGGGGTGGAGGCTGCGGGCTGTGTGCTTGGGGGCCGGCTCTTCGGTGTAGCTGTCCGGGCTGGCCGCCCCATCCAGCGAGCTGCCGCAGCTGGAGTTCGGGGACAGCACGTCCTGCAGGAGGTCATCAGGAGGTGCACCGCCCCCTCCCCCACCGCCTCCACCACCAACCCCCACCACAGGGTCCTTGCCAGGCTTGGCCCGCTGGGTACCCTCCTCCTCCTGGTCATTGAGCAGCTTGGCCAGGAAGTTGATGTACTTCATGGCCAAGCGGAGGATCTCGTTCTTGCTAAGCTTCTTGTCTGGGGGATGTGTGGGGATCAGCTTGCGGAGCTCAGCAAAGGCCCCATTCACATTCTGCTGCCGCCATCGTTCTCGGCTGTTGGTGAAGATGCGTCGCACTACTTTGGTGTGGGGACCTGGAGGTAGGAGGACAAGAGTTTAAAAATATGAGATAGATGTCCCCCAAGGCACCTTCTCCTGTACTATTCTAAGAGTGATGGAAACTATCCTTTGGAAAACTTGGGAAACCTAGAATGCCTTCTTGCTTTTTACTTAGAAAACTCCTGGGGCGCCTGGGTGGCTCAGTCATTAAGCATCTGCCTTCAGCTCAGGTCATGATCCCAGGGTCCTGGGATCAACCCCCGCACTGGGCTCCCTACTCAATGGGAAGCTTGCCCTCTCCCTCTCCCACGACCCCTGCTTGTGCTCCCTCTCTCACTGTCCCTCTCTGTCAAATAAATAAATAAAATCTTTACCAAAAGAAAAGAAAACTCCTACTCAGCCTTCAAACCCCCATTCATCTGTTTCCTCCACTCGGGGAATTTCCCTCAACCCCTCCAGCCAGACCTCACCAACAACCATGGCCCTACAACTCCCTGATCTCCATCATCTTTTTTTTTTAATATTTATTTATTTATTTATTTGAGAGAGAGAAAGACAGCATGTGCGCACATGTGTGCACACATCTGACAGAGGAGGAAGGGGTGAGGCAGAGGAAGAAAGAGAGAGAGTCTTTTAAACAGTCCTGTGCTGAGTGTGGAGCCTGATGAGGGGCTCAATCTCACAACCCGGAGTTCACCTCCTGAGCAGAAACCAAGAATCAGACACTTAACTGACTGAGCCACCCAGGCACCCCTCTGTGACTTTTGACCATTAGTGTCTATGCTTGTCTCTCTCTTGGGGCTGTGAGGCATTTGAGGACAGGGACATTATGTCATTCATTCATTGTGCCAAGAGGCCATACAGCCCTAGTGAGAAAGACAAACTCTGGAGCCAGACTTTCTGGACTGAATCCCTGACTAGGACTCACTAGACAGTGACTCGGCGCAGGTTACTTAAACTCTCTGTGCTTTAGCTTAGTCATCTGTAAAACAGAGATAATACAAGAGTAACTGAAATCATGAGACTGTCACATGGATCGAACAACTACCACAGGTAAAGTCCTTAATACAAACCTGCCTCAGATTAAACATTCAGTAAATGGCAGCTACCGTCACCCATCCACCGGTTACATACTAATAACCGGGCACCGCGCCAGACACCGTGTCAGGCACTAAGGGAAATAGGGTCCCTGTCCTCATGGAGCATACATTTTAATGGTGATGACAGATGATGAACAAGCAGCAAACAAATAAAGAAACCGGAGGCCAAATGTAGTAACAGATGGAAAGGAGCCACTACGTTTAGCTGAGGCGGTTGGGGATGGCATATTGGAGAAGGAGACATCTATAAGGTAAGAACTTGAGCTGAAGAAGAGCCAGCCAGGCCCAGGTAGGGAAGAGAGACCACCATGTGCAAAGGCCCTGAGCTGGAAAATGGCCCAAGCCAACCTGGTTAATTAGTGTGGGTGCGATCAGAGTAGACTGGTTCCAGGCCCCACAGGTCTCTGCAGTAAGTGTGGGGACTCTATTCTAAGAGTGATGGAAAACAGGGTAGGCTGATCATGCTGGCAGGTGGCGGGAATGGAGTAGAGTAGAGACAAGAGGGAAAACAACCTACCCTGTGGGCTCTCTCCCCAAGAAAAGAAATGGAGAGATGGGCCATGCAAGGCTCGAAACAGGTGTCTGAGGGCTGCCTCAGTTTCTCCATGTCTACTGATGACAGACTAGACTGAAATTCAGACTATATTCATGTCCTGAGCCTTGTGAAGCAGTGACAGACTCCAGTGTGCATGTTTTGAGCACCTATGGCATTCAAAGCACTGCACTCAATGTCCCAGCCCGACCTGGCGTTCCCAAAGCCAGAGAAAACAGAAGGGGGCCCTCCTGATGCTCCTGAGCTCCTGGGCTGAGGTGGCCGCTCCCTTCCCCAACACTGAGGCCAGCCCAGCACTGGGCTCCCAGCAGTCACCAGGAAGCTCCATGCACTGAAAGAACTCCCAGGCTGGGGATATTTGTTCGCCCTTTTCAACCTCAGAAAGGGGAAGCTAAGATAGGCAAAAACGGGAGAGGAGGGGTCAAGGCCTCCCCTGGACCTACAGCTTGCTTCCCCTCTAAGGAGAGCCCAGGATGGCTCATCCGGTCATGGACACTGGCATGGACACACATACACACGGATGCACACATGCATGTATATACATATACACACACACCACCTCTCAGGGAGGACCACGTACCCCCTGCCTGATAGCCTCTGCAAGCTGATTTTCCAAACCCCAACAGGCCCAGGGCCCAGCTGACTCTTTGCCAAAGACCAGCCCCAGACTGGGAAAAAACAGCACACCTGCCGGCCGGCCTCCCCTGGGCTGCCTGCCGCAGAGGAAATAACTCTCTGTTCTCTGGCCTCCGGGCCAGACAGAGGGCCGTCCCTCAACCGTGACATGAGGAGGTCCATCCCTGCTCCATGGCTAATGCTGGCTGACCTGGAGGGAGCAACTAGGTGGGGAAGACACATGACAATTGCTGTCACGGCTGCAGCGAGACAGAACTCCGAAAGGAGGACCTACCCCCAGCCAGGTCCTAAAAACACTTTACCCCACTGTACTCTCTCAACAAGCTGTGAGGAAACTACTCTCCCCACTTTCCAAATGAGGAAACAGAGAATCAGAAAAGTTCAGCAGTAGGAATCCACCCCAAGTCCCGACTTCAGCCCTTGCATTAGTTCCACCTCTATGGATTATTTTTGGTGAAATCTCTGATTCCAAAGTCTCACGGACCTACTCTGTACCGCCCCCCCCACACACACACACCTTCCTCTCCACCTCCATTTCTGTCTATTCCTCTCTGGCAGCTTCCCAGAGAACTCCCCACCTCTCTACACCTTCCTCTTCCCCAAGTCTGTCCATCCCTCTGTGTCCTCCGCCTCTCCTAGGCCAGGCACTGAGTAGGTGCTCAGTAAATATTGGTGACATTTATGAGTAATGGCTTCCCTGTAGTTCCGCACTCCCCCCAAACCCTCAACTCCTGTCCCCTTCTCCTCCTTCCTCTTCTCTGTGCCTGATTCTCCTATCTTCTGCCCTCCGTAAAAAATGTCTCTTCCCTGGGGAACTTTGTGGCTGGTCCTGCCTACTCTCCATTTGATATACCTCCCTCCCCTCTCTAACCCAGCAGCGCTGACAACCCACCACGCTTCCCTCTTGGACCTACACGCCTCAAGTCCCTGGCTGGTTAGGTCCTATAAGGTCTGTTCCTTGTCCAAACTCTATGCCCTCTCCCCTCCAGAACACCACAGAGGACTCCTCTCCAGAAGCTCCAGCTCCATACATATCCCTCCTGCTGGCTCCCTGAATAAATCCCAGTCCGGCTTCAAAGCCTCAGGTGTCCTTCCCACAGGGGTTCCAGGCCCCAGTGGAGCTGACACATGGGCAGCAGCTCCAGGGATTTGCTCCAAGTCCTGGGCTCTGAAGGGCCTGCTCTCCCGCCACCTGGTGTTGGGTCTCATCTACTACATGGGAAGAGGGCCAGGATACTCCAAATTTCCCATTCATCCAACCCCTTTCCCAAGTTCAGCATGGAAGACTACTCAGGTAGTTCACAATAGTAGTGCTGGGGACCTTCTAGAGGATGCCGGGAGGGCAGGGTAGATTCTGTGATGTCGGGACAGGAACTCCAGGTCTCAGCCCTGGGTATGGAACAGGGGACAAGAGGGCCCCACAATAATGGGACCTGGGACAAGGGCCTTAGCTCTCCAATTCCAGGCAGAGAGCAGACTCCAGATTCCAAAAAGGACTTGGGAGGAGGTGTAAGAAATCCCTGAGGGTCTTCTGCCCTCCCCCTGGGATTCTTACCAAGTGTGGAAATGGAGCTACAGTGTGGACTGCAACTGACCCTAGAGATTTGGGCTAAATGCTGCAATGTGTCCTCACTGCCATGTGCCCTCTTCCCAGGAGCGTGAGGATGGCCCCCCCAGCCCCACCCATGACTTTCCCTTGACCCAGGTCAGCTGCAGGGCAAGGACTCTCCCTCCAAGGCAGCCAACCCATCTATGTGAGACACCTGTGGTGTAGTCCCTGAAGATCCCATCTTCGGTGGCTCTAACCAGCCCGAGGGGTGAGTACAAAGGGAGAGGCAGGTAGACTCACCATCAGTAATCTCCATCTCATAAGGGGAGGGTCTCCTCTTCACTCGGTTGTTGGTGGCAAACATAGGGAAGGCATCTGGCTCCCCAAAGAACCCACTGTGGGAGGGAGCAGGCAGATCACAACATCACATGTAGGTGGAGGGGAGAAAGCCTCCTGAGGGATCCTCCCCACAGGTTCCTCAGCCCCCTCCCCCCAGAAAACAAGGGCAACCCTGCTCCCTTCGTACCTGGGTTTGGGATAGAAGGAGCATCACACACAGACACCCAAACACACCCACAGAATGCTGCCACTCTCTCTCCTCGGTGAGACAAACAAGGGAAGAAGGGGCCACACACCCACACACCCCTCCCTCCGACACACAGTCAGAAGTGAACACATGGAGCAAACGCAAAATTGAATACACACACCCCACCGGCAGACATACGCCCCTTCCCAGAAGCGAGCACACAATCCACAGACACCTACCCTCCCAAACAGGTACCCACACAGGCAGGGGGTCTCATTCACACCTGATGGTGGGCAACTCACAGGGCACACGGTCCCTTTTCCCACAAATCACCCTCACCTTTGCCCTGGTCCCAGGGGGCCTGTGGACAGACAACAGAAAGGAAACCTCCCTCCACTGACCGCTACTTACACCCCCCGCCCCACCACTCTGGGCTCTCAACAGCTTCCTCCTCAAGGTCTCCTATAGACTCACTAACTGCCCCACATTGTCAACCCCTGCCTCATCTTCCTGTCTCCACCCCAAACCTACCTCCATCTCCCCACCATCTCAGTGGCCCCAGCTGGGGAACGGACACCTTAACAGGAGGGGGGTACAGACCCCAGCCGGAGACGGAAGCTAGGGGCATAGGGGCTCAGGAGGGGAGGAAGGAATCCGCTCCCCACACCGGCCCTGTAGCGGTTTCAGGGGAGGGAGCCCTCTTGCAACCTCAGATCCCTATCTCTTACCTGTCCACTGAGGGCTGCAGCTTCCAGAAGAATTGCATGGCGAGCGCATTCAGACACATTCTTGCTCACACTCAAACGACTCCCTTTGGTCCACAGCGCTCGCACGCGCGCACACACACACACACCCCATACAGCGCGGGTCAGCGTGCTTCTGCTCACTGGCAGCCACAGCCCGCGCTCCCGAAGGCGTGGACCCACTCTCGGGCTTCCGCACCCTCATGCACTCTGCACCCCACAGCCGGCTCCGCGCACACGCACACGCCCGCAGAGGACCCCCCAGTCGCTGGCGCTCGGGCTCGGGTGCGCGGGCTTTTCCGCCCTCGGGTTCATAGCACCCCCTCTCTTCCTGCGCTCCCGCCGCTCCGCGCCGTCGGGAGGAAGGCGGTGGCTCCGAGGGGCAGGAGGGACGCCTGGGCCGAGGCCCCCCCCCAACCCCGCCCGCCCGTCCCGCCGTGGCGCTGACCTGCCGAGGGAGGCCAGCGGCTGGCTGAGGCTGTAGAGCAGCGCGCGGCCGGGGGCGGCGGGGGCCGCCAGCGCGGGCGGGCTCAGCTGCACCATGCGGCCGTCGCCGGGCAGCTCCGCAGGGGCCGAGGCGGGCGCGGGCCCGGGAGGTCTGCACAGCTCCGTGGTGGGCACCCGATGGCGCGCTTCGGCCGCCGCCGCCGCGTCGCGGCCCTTTAAGTCCCGCGCGGCGCCGCCCCCACCGGCGGGGCCGCCCCCCGGACCGCTGCGCGCGCCCAGCTCGATGACCGGGGGCTCCGCGGGGGCCGCGCGGCTCGTCTCCTTGGCGACGCCGTTCAGCAGTACCAGGTGCGGGGGGGCCATGCGGGCCTCGGCCGCGGCCGCGTCCCGTCCCTCGAGCGGGGGGTCACTGTGGGCCGCCTCGCTGGGCGGCCGCTCCGTCATCCTGCGGGCAGACAGACAGACAAGGGGACGCCGGCTCTTACAACCGCCCCCAGCCCACGGAGGGGTGGGTGAAGGGCAGAGAGAAATTCGCGCACCGAGACGTGGGAAGAGGCGGACTTAATGCCACGTGGACACACGCCCCCCCCCCACCCTCTCCGGGGCCTGAAGGCCCAGCGGCTGGGCTGGGGCAGGAGGGAAAGAGGGACTTTGGTTTGGGAGAAGAGAGAGGGTGTCTGGGAGACACAGAGACCGAGGAGATGGAAAAAGACGACAGGCACTGGAAGAAAAGGAATACAGCCAGCGAAAGAAAACAGAAGGGGGAAAAAAGGAGGAAGGAAATGTAGAAAGAGGCGAGAAAGAACTAACATCGTGTCCCCCTGCTCAGGCCGCAAGGGAAGAGGAGGGAACAAATCCCCTGACCGTGTTCCTCCCGCCCCCCTTTTGGTTTTGGCGGGGAAACTGGCGCGGAGGTGGGGTGCTTTTCGAGCCTCCCTTGCCTCTCAACAAGTAGAGACCTCAGGGAATGGAGGCTGCAGGACCCGGGGTCGCCACAGCTGGCAGAGACTCCTGCCCTCCTTTTCAACACATATTCACCCCCCCTCCCCGCAGGGAGTGTCCCTCTGCACTAAGCAAATACACCGGGTAGTCTATGCGGCTGCTGGAAACCCCAGTGGCCCTTTACTCCCCACCAGACCAGAGATGAGACTCGTGGGAGAGAAGATGATCCTAGCCCTAGTCCTCCTCCAGCTCCACATTCCACCTCCTTGAGCTCAGCTGGACTCAGAAATGAGGTGTGGTCTGGAAGGGAGGCTTGGCTAAGTGGATGTGGAACCCAGGCATTCAGAGTGCCTCCAGGCCACTGGGATCTCAGCTCCCACCTTTGAGTGGGAAGAGATATCATGAAGGCCCTTGAATTCTTCCATCCCCCTCTCCTGCCTCTGTTGTAGTCTGGGAAATGGGAGCAATACCTCATTAATGCATTTAAAAGCACCGTTCAAATGCTCAAGTAAACATTATTATTGACAAGGAGACCCAACCAGCGAGGGGACTGCCTTGCCCAAGGTCATGTGAACCTATTTGCCACGGAGCCACAGAGCAAGACCAGAACTACGATCTCGCTCTGTCTACACTATCCTCCTGTCTACACCCTCCTATGTGTATCACTGGGGCTGAGGACACTCCTTCTTTTCTCCACAACCATACTCCAGGGTGACCAAAGAGGCTCTACTCCCCACTAACACTTGCTGGTGGAGGGGTGGAAGCTTCCATCACCCTGCTTGGATGCCCGTGGAGCCAGGCCCCAAAAGAATAAAAACCAAAAAACCAGGAGACTCTGGGTCTGGAGTTTGGGGGTGCTTTTGAGTTGTTTTAATAAAATAAACACACACACATACACAGACACAGATACACACATATATAATCAAATCGATAGGCTTTATAAGATGTTCAAAATAGGGTTTCTCGTCTCAAAATTAGATGATTGGGATATTTCATAGCATAAAATACACAAAAATCAAATTTGGCCCCAAGCAGATTCCATCTAATCATTCAGGGCAGCTGTGCTGCCACTGCACCACTCTGGGCGGGGGCTGGCCTGAGAAACGTCCTCCCACCCCAGAAGAGAGACCTGACCTTCTGAAACCTCCTTCAGAGCTCAGCAAAATTGCCACACACAAGCTGACGGAGAATTGTCATTTGGATTGCGCTTCTGCCCTGGGTGTGCCAACTCCATGGGCTCACCAGGAAATAACAGAATTCCCCAAGACCTGGTGAAAAGAGCCGCAAAGGCAGTGGGTCCTCAAGGCTTCACTGGAAGTGAGTTTATGACTATGGCGGAAACAATAGATCCCTATCCACAGAATGGGACTGCCAAGACACTGCACCAGAGGTTTACTAGTCCAGTCTTCCTGGCTTCCCTGCAGCAGGGAAATGCACCAGTAATATACTACCCTGTGGTCAAAGCGACAAGCCCCAAGGTCCTGGCGCCCTACCCTACCTTGTCCTCACACACCGTTGTGTGCCCAGTGACACGTGCTTCAGCCACAGCTTCTAACTCAGTAACAAACTGTGCACACTGCAAGCTCTCCTTATGACACATTTATACCCTCTGATTAATTACAAGTCTTCATGTAGGCACGGATCCCTGAGAGGCAAGAGGATCACATATTCCAAATGAGTTGACCCTGGCCCCAAAATGCCCTCCCCAGCCACCTATAAATATCTATATCTCGGAGGCTCCCTGTGATAAACCTATGATTGGTTCCCAGGGTCTGTGACCGACCTCTCCCCACCCATCCCCGGACCTTAGGAAAACCTGGCGGGCTGTTCAGCAACCAGGATCACCCAGGGGAGGGGTCCATGCTCCAGAAAAAGCCAACAGAGCACTCATAAGTACCTTTGGTTGTAGGGGACTAAACCCCATCACTTGGCTTCGGTTAAGATTACTGGAAGGAAAGCCTGAGTGATTTTTGTTTGTCCATTTGTTTTTATTTGGGGAAGATGAGAGAGTGTGGAGAAGCTTTTGAACAGAATGACACTAGACTATTTGACCATTACAAGTCCTCTGTCTTTGTGTCGCCCAGAACCAGCTAGAAGCCCCCAACACCGGATCCTCATCTCCTGTTGCCAGATGGCCACAACATTTCCGCTTGTGTCTGAGCAAGATGGGGATCCCAGGAGCTCCTGGGGGGCAGGCACTAGGTCTCGGGCAGCTCCCAATGCCCGCCAGGGAAAATTTCTCCTATGAAAACAGCCTCTCCTGGTATGTGAGTTAAGAGCTAGCTGGCTTCCTGTCCTTCATAATGCACCCACACCCGAATGACCCCCTGGGGGAGCCCCAAGCCTGCTGGAGAACCAAAAGCACCAGTGAAGAGAACCACCTTCCCAGCCACTAGGAGACAGCGAGAGAGTGAGAGAGCGAGGGGGTGCTCCAGCACAGCCCCACCCTAGGCCTTAGGCCCCAGTAAAGGCCCACCCGAGCTGGGACTGCGCTAGCTAGCCAGGGTGGCTGGGCCTTCTTCCTGCCAGAGGCCCAGGCACACACAGCCTGCACCATCCGGTTATAGCCGCGCCAAAGTTAGGAGCCTTGTGAAACACCCACAGAACCAGGACTGATGGGAGCGGCCTGGGGAACTAGGTCCGGCTAGGTGTTTTTACCCAGGATCAAAATGGAAAGGGCTCTAGAAGTCACAGAGACACAGATACCAGATTCCCAGCTCTGGGTTCGTCCTTCCCTCCCCTAATTGTAGACTGGACTGGCCTCTGTCCTAAGCTTCCCCCACCCCAGGCCGGAACCCAAGGTCTTCCTGGACACTGTTTCCACTGATACTGTTCCCCCAAAACTCACCTGGGGCATATTTAGAGAAACCGGCCCCTCTGAATAGGATCTCCACTCCGCCGCTGGAGAGGGGCGGGAGCCAAGGTCCAAGCTGCGGACGGGGATCTTTGCTTTTCCCCTCTCTCGCTGAGAGACCAGCAGTTAGGCCACGGTGTGGTCCTGGGCAGTCTGCCGCGCCCAAAGCCAGTTTCCAGGAAAGATGGGGGTGGAGAGAAAGAGGGAGGGCGAGAGGGAGGGAGAGAGAGAAATGGGGGTCAATGGCTGGGAATTACCTCCTGTTGTCGCCAAGCAGCCCAGGGAATTGCAAATGCCTTTCTGCCCCCACCCTGCAGGTGTTTGAAGCTTCCCCCAGTCCCCCTTTAAAAAGAACCCTACACTTGACCAATCAGGAATAACTATTTACTCCAACAACAACAACAACAACGAGCATAAGGTCTGCACCGACCGCGGGAACAATTTCAGGCCCTCCAACGGGGTTGTCTGGTTCAGTGTGGCCGAGTTTGTTTTCTAAGCACTGACGGGTCTATGCGGTTGGCTTGGGAACCCGGGTCAGGCGGGATCAGCGGCCTCAACGCCTAGCACCACTGGGTGGGTAAATGTGTGTTGGAAAAGGGGAATCCGGTTTTCAGACCCTGATCTGTAGGGCAGAACGTCCAAGGTCCCCATTCTCTCCATGCCCACCTTTAGTGCAAAACGAAACCAGAACCCAATTCCAAAGGCTATTTTCCCACAGGAATGGAGTCAGAACAGCACGGATCCAAGAGGATGGGGGTGGCAAATATCTGATCTATCTGTCCCCTCTTTTCTTCCTACCAATGAGAGAAAGAAAGAGAGAGAGAAAAGAAAGAAAAGAAAAGCCCGCCGCCACCTTCCTTTCAACCATCTCCACACAATGATTTTCATTTTTTCAGTGTTCAGAGTACAGGAGAATTCTAATAATTCCTTGCAGCAATAAACAAGGCAAAGACAGGGAGGGTAAAATCCAATACTGCTCCCCAGTGTGTAAGACAGAGGGATCTAGGTTGCATTTTTTTCTTCTCCAAAGGGTTTTATTTAATTTGTTTTGCCTAAATTGTCCAGTTTATGGTTACACATCGACATCCTGGATTAATTCCAAAGGACTCCTTTTTGCTCTGGCTTTGGTGGAATTATAGGAATAATTCTTCCCTGGGGTTTCAGTCCAATGCGGGAGATTTTCTTTCTCCTCTTCCAATCCAGATGGTGGGGGAGGGGGGATCCACTCATTCCCGTGTCTTAGGTCCGGGTTAATTTTTGCTTTATGACAGCGTCTCTGTGCCCCGTTCCTCTCTCCATTTTCTCTCCCTACCTCAAACCCAGCAACTTAAAAATATAGAGCTGGGGGGGGGGACCGGGCTGCTTTGTTATCGCTCCTAAGAAGCTAAAAGGTTGGACAAGCCACTTCGCTACTCAACGATTACTTTAATTAAATAGAATGATGATGATGATGATGATGATGATGATGATGATGACATTAATAACCACAATAACTGGCAAAACAAAATCCATTTTTATACAGCGAGGGCAGCACTGACCCCATCCCTCCACAAAGCCTGGCTCTGGTCACCCATGCGACGGATACCTGACCCACACCGCAATGTCGCTCACCCGGGGAAGGGATGGAAAAGTGTCTTTGTAGATTAACCTGAGGGTCCCCACCCCAGGAGCGAAACCCGGAGAATGCGCTCATTGTCTTCTCCAGGTCTCTCGAGACCGCAGACCCCGCGGAGGTACCTGCGAAACTGACCAGAAATGGATGAAGCCTGGGTGCGGCGGAAACCGAAGCCAGCGGCTACCGGCGTGAAGGCGCGGGCCTCGGCGAGCGCTGCTCAGCTTCGAGCCTGGAAGAACCTCCCACTCCCTAACAAACCCCTCGAACACCGAGGCACGGACCGGCCTCTGGACAGAGCAGCCGCCGATCGGGCTCCGTCTGCCCATCCAAGCCAACACTGGCTTCCGAATACATCATAATTTGGAATAAAATGTGAAATCCCTCTCCCCGCCCCCTTGCCGCCTCCTCAACTTGCGGTTCCATCTCCTGCTCGCCCTCCCCTCCACCTCCCACCGATCTGCAAATACACTTCTAAAGGACACAAGCACACAGGCACACAACCCAGTACGGACAGGACCACACACGGTCCAGCCCCACAGAAGGGAAGCAAAGTAAACACAACCCAGCGCTGCCCTCCAAGCCGACATGGTCAGGCCCGCACACTGGCCAACACGGTACAACGAAATCAGAACGCAATCGTTCATGGACACATATCTAACGTAGTCAGGATCACATATGCCCGACACAACAACGAAACCACCCAAATACAGTCGCAAAGTCACAATACAACCCAACACGCAGAGCCAGACTCTTGTCGAGAAGGAAAAACGAGCATAATCGTATACAGCGATGAAAACGCAGGAGGGCTCGAAGAATCCAAATCAACAGCCCAAAGACCGCGGACACCATCACACTCGGACACACAACCCTCCGCCTGGAAGACCACACTCGGAAGAAGTCAGCACTGCCGACGGCTCGCACACGCACTCACAATCCCACCGCATGCACACAACCACCAAGAAGAAATGAAAACCAACCACCGCCTCGCGCATTTCTGTATATTGCGTAAGGAAAAAGGGGAAGGAAGGAAGAGAGTCTCCGAGGCGGGAGGGGCGGCGGCGGCGAGCGGAGGGCGTCGGTGGAAAATGCCCCCCATCCAAAGAAACACCGGGAAAAGGAGCGAAGCCCTCTTCTTCGAGCGGGGAAAAGAAGAGAGGAACTGATGGGGAGTTCCGCGGGGGGCCGCAGGTTGCTTTCCCCTAGAAAAAGGCCGGAATGCTCACGTTTTGCTGCTACGGGGGGATGCGTGTGGCCATTTTGAGGCCTGGTCCTTGGAGCGGAGGCCCGCCCCCGCCCCCGTCCCCGTCCCCGTCCCCGTCCCCCGCCCGCGCGCCCGGGCTCCTCCAGCGACGCGCGCTAATCCCGCTCACGTTCTGGGCCTCGTTAGCATGGGCCGAGGCGCGCCGGGGCAGTGTGCGCCGCCGAGATAAGGCACTGCCGCGGGTCCGCTCGCCCCCGATAAGCGCCTCGGCCATTATGGGCCAAATGATTCATTTTAATTTGGCAATTTCACCGGAGGGAGCGGAGCCTGGTTGTGCGGCGCTGGGACCGGCTCCGGAATGCGCCACCGAGAGAGTTAGGCGCGCAGTCTAGGACTCGGCGAGTCCAGCCCCATTTCTGATCCCGAAGCCTATCGGGAACCGGGCACCGCAACCTCAGTCCCTGGGCGGTCCAGACACCTTTCTAAGGCGGCTCTCATCCCAGAACCCCGTCCCTGCCTTTGACACCCAAACAATCACTCCCCAACCTTTCCCTGGCATTCATTCTCCAGTGTCCTAGACACCCGCATTTCAAAGGGCAGTTCCTCATCCCAGAAAGCTCCCCGCTTCCCCCTACCCACCTCACCCCCTTCAGCCCTGGCTCTATTCTGCGCTAAAATGGAGCGTGCTTGCCTCCAGGGCCATAGACTGAACTCACATCCACGGGCTCTGGGGAGGGACAACTGTTGTCAACGGAGCGATTTAAATGTCCCTTCTGCTGAGTTCCAGGCTAAGCCCGGAACCTGGGAACGTCCCAACCCCCATTATATTTTAAACATTTTAATCTTGCTATGGGAGCACCATTCTAAGCACTCTACAAACACAGATTCCTTTCCTTCTCATAAACAATCCTAAGAGGCAGGTGCTATTATTATCCTCCATTTAGAGATGAAGAAATTGTGGCAAAGACAGTCAAAGAAACTTAACCCAGGTGACAGATCTAGTAAGCGGTGGAGCCTGGGTTTGAAACAAATTTGGCCTCAGAGTCCTCTTGGGAGCCCAGGTGACGAAGAAGGGCAGCTAGATAGAGTCTAGGCTGGGAGGACAGATCTGGGCTCAACTCATTAGAAGGACCAAGATCTTACTGTGGGGTAGAAATCTGGGTTCAGTGAGGAGTGGGCAACTGGGACTTAGCCCAGGGAAAGCACCCGCTTTCATTCTTTTATGGTGGAGTGGAAACAGCACAAGCTCAAATCTTGCAAGTCACTTGGCTCTTAACCTCCATTTACTTGTCTGTAAAATGGGGAGATAATACCTACCTGATACTATAATTTAAAAAAAAAAAAGTCAGTGGTGAGGGGCTTGGGTGGTGAAGTCTGTTGAGTGAGGGACTCAATTTCAGCACGGGTCGTGAGATGGAGCCCCATGTCAGGCTGTACACTCAGTGTGGAGTCGGCTTGAGATTCCCTCTCCCTCTCCCTCTGCTCCTCTCACGCTCTTTCTTTCTCTCTCTCAAATAAATAATAAATCTTACACCAAAAAGTGGGGGGGCAGAGGTGAGAATAAGAATCTAGGGAAGCTCACCCAGCCCAGAGTCCAGGACGACACCATATGCATATGGCATGGGAATTCTGGTTCTTGTTATAGGGAAGGAAATTAAGTCACAGAGAGATATGACTTGGCCAAAGTTCACAGTGACTCGAGGAAAAGCTGAGATCCAAGCTCAAGTATCCAGTTCCCAGTCCACAAGTCTACCCATCATGCCAGGATGCCTGGTCCTTCCAGCAGCTCTGGTCTGGTGCCTGAGAACTAGGGAAAAGTCCCTCTCCTGGTCCCAGACTGAGTCCCAGTCAAGGATGGAGCCCAGAGTGTGGTCACAGTCTGAGTCCTGGCCCCTTCTTGCCATCAGGATGAGTCTTTGTGAAGATATGGTTGATTCAGTGCAGGCTGTCCCTTCAGTTCCTTCTGTGCTCTCTGGTGGAAGTTAGGGTGCCCTGTGGATCCAGGTAACATCTACAGAATCTCATGGGAGAAGAGCCATCCTTGGTCTGCAGAAAAGAGTTTAATTCCTGGACGTGCCACAAGGTGTCCCCTGGCCCAGCCACACCCGCCTTCGGCAGGGACTCTGAGGAGGGGTCCCTGGGTCTATTAAGCCCCATCTCTTGCTCTCTCCCCATTGCCCCGGCCCTGCCTCACCCACTGGTATTAAATCGAGCCCTCCCTCGCGCCCTAGCTACCGCTGCTCCTTCTCCCTTAATGGCCCTCTCATCTCACATCCATCTTTCACGACTCAGCCTTTTGGCCACTTCCTCCCTGAAGCCTCCCTGCAGTGGGGTTGGCTTTCCTCTCTCCCTCTTCTGGTCCCCTTTGCTTTTGCTGGCAGCATCACTTAACTAAAAGTGTGGGAGTCATGTAATTTGGAGTTCCAAGCCCAGTGCTGTCATCCCTGAGCAAGTCAGTTCACCTCTGAGCCCCTGCAAATAGGTGCTGGCTATTCCCATCAGAAAGCCCAGCCAGGGAGCACTTCCCTGAGAAAATGATGCCTGGACTGAGATCTAAGAGTGGGATCCAGGAGCAGCTGGGTGGCTCAGCCGGTGAAACAGCTGCCTTCCGCTCTGGTCATGATCCCAGGAAACTGCCTTTCTGGGATTGAGCCTCGAATGGAAGGGAGAAGCGGGGACTCCTCTCTCTGCCTGTGCGCGTGTGTGCTCTCTCTCTCTCTCTGTCAAATGAAATCTTTATTTTTTTATTTTTTAAAAGATTTATGTATTTATTTGACAGAGAGAGACACAGCTAGAGAGGGAACACAAGCAGAGGGAATGGGAGAGGGAGAAGCAGGCTTCCTGCTGAGCAAGGAGACGGTATGGGACTTGATCCCAGGACCCTCGGATCATGACCTGAGCTAAAGGCAGACACTTACAACTGAGCCACCCAGGTGCCCCAAATAAAATCTTAAAAAAAAAACCCAAAAAACCTAAAAAAAATATCTTATTGTAAAAAATTTAAAAAATAAGCATGCAATCTGAGGGTGGGTAGAAGAGTGAACATCTAGAGCCTTCCACGTGGGACAAGGGCTGAAGCAGAAGGACCTTAATTTCATGCAAGGAACAGTAGAGTTTAGTCTGGTTGGAGCAAGCCTGCGGTCATTTTAAAGGATTGGTCATTTTAAAGGATTGGGGTGGGGGCGTTTTGTTTATTTGATTTGAGAGTGGGCATAGTCCTACATAAGATCAGATTTGCATTTCTGGAAAGCTCTTTGGCCGCAAGGTGGAGAAGGGGTGTGGGTGTGTGGAAAGTGGGAAGACTAGTTCTGACATACAGTGGTCCAACTGGAGGGTGGTGGACTGAAGCTGATGAAGATGGCATGTATTTAGGATACAAAACTGAATTTGTAAGAATATGGTTTAGGGGAGAAGGGAGAAGGAGAAATCCAGGAACCCTCTGGCTTTCTGGCTTTCCTTTGCCTAGATGTTGGTGTCATTCCTGGAGATGGGGGCCTGGAGTAAAAGGGGCAGAGGGAGAGAATCTGCATTTGGTTTTGAATTCCTTGACTTTAGGTGCTGGAGGCATCTACAGGCTCTCGGATTCTCTTACGGGTCATTAAATGACCCTACCAGGTTGTAGGGAAGGAACAACGGACAGAGGCAAAGCTCTTGTGAGCCAGTCCCATGGCAGAGAATGTGCCCAGGCATCGGTCGGGTTGCGGAGGTGACGCTCACCACCGCCTTCTGTTCGCAGAGCTCCAGATTGTGACAGTCTGGCAGCCATCCCGGACCTGTCCCCCACCCCCACCCCGGCCTGGAGCTGGGGGCTCGTGACGTGTACACCCTCCCCCCAAGCCCTGTTTCCGACAGTCGGTGGAAAAACGGAAACTGCGCACTAAGCGGGGCGCCGCCCGAAATAGCATCTGGTGCCTGTCGGTCAGCGCGCTGTCCGAGCGTCCAGGAGCGAGTGACGTGGCCCATGGCCCCGCCAGGAAATGCCACCCCTCCTCCGCCGGCCCCAAGCAGGGGCCTTGGGCGGGCAGGAAACCCAGAGCGCCTGGGCTGGGGGGCGGGGTGGAGGGAGGAGGGGAGGTTGGGACCCAGACAGGTCAGTCTGGAGTCTGGTCCTGGAGGGGAGCAGCCTGGAGGGAACAGCCTCCTGGGGTTTGGTGCCTGCGGCTCTGGTGGCCACTCCCCGTCCCTCACCTCCTTCCATACCCCTACCAAAGGCTGGGTTCTTCCTAAACCCCAAATTTGAAGCTTTAATTTTTTCAAGTGTTTCCTCCTACCCGGTTCTGGGTTCTAGCGGATCTCTGAGCTTTCTCCCCCGAGCTTGTTTTCCGGAGGGGAGGCTGGAGGTGTGCTCGCTGGTGGGCAGCCTGATTTCCTTCCAAGACATCCAGGTGGTGGTGCCATGTAGCAGATACTGGTCTAAGCACTTCAAAAGTGTTAACTCAGTTGATCCTACAACAACCCAGTGAAATAGGGGCTGCCATGACCTCCATTTTGTAGGTAGCCAGCTGAGGCACAGAGGCTGAGCAACTTTGCGGAGCCACATTTTCAAGGTTAAGAACTCCGACTGGAGGAGGTGTCCTGGTTTCCCCCTCCCAGTTCCCTGCGGTCTCCCTTTGTTCCTTGCTCTGAGAGACACCTCGCCCTGCCCGCAAGCAGGCCTGAGATGGAATTCCAAGCTGAAAAGGTGGGGAGAGAACTCTCTGTGCTACCAAACCCCAGCACAGCTGCCTTGGCTCCCCGGGACATAAAGGGCATCCCTCTAATTCCACATTTCTCAAAGTAGACCATCAGCATCACCTGGGAACTTACTAGAAATGCAAATTTCCAGGCCCCGCCCCAGATCTGATACATGGGAGACTCTGGGCTGGGAAGTCTGCATTTCAACAGGCCATCCAGGTAATTCGCATGCTACCCCAAATTAGAGAACCGCTGCTCTGGTTTGCTGCTGTCGCCTGCAGGAAGGGCCACCAGAAGACCCTTGAAAACACTGTGCTTC